TAATTATACTCCTTGTTTTAACTTAAATGTTGATAATATCAGAATGCTCCACGTCAAATTCACTAATTGTCTACTATAAAAAAAAATAAAAAAATCATTGGCACTATTTGCTTTGTAGGCTGCTATAAAGACGATTGGTGAGGAGGAGAAGTACTTTTCCAGAGTATCCTTGCGGTTAGAACCTATATTTTTAATGCAAAATTGTATCTGATAATATTTCTATCAATCTTCATTTGATTTTAAATTTTATTAATTTTGGTTTTCCATTCAAGGATGCCTTCATTTGGATCCGCGGTTAAATCCTCCCAAGTAGATTTACCCAAGACTGGGAGTACAAGTGCTTCATTAGCAAATGCTTCTTCAGAGATTTCTCTGGATGGATGGGATGGTATTGCTCTGGAATACTCTGTTGATTGGCCCCTACAGTTGTTCTTTACTCAGGAAGTGTTGTCTCAGTAAGATGCTGCCGATACTTATGGATGCCACTCTGTCTTTCTCCTTCTCTTCTTCTTCTTCTTTACTTAAATATGCATTCTTTTGCCATCTGATAAAGTTGAAAGACAGTTCCTTAATTGCTTATCAAATAATATTGAAAAAATACTACCACAAAATGTAGTTCATAGTTGCTGAATAATTCCTTTCTATCTCATGCACATGTTAACCTCAAGAATGTTCCAGGTACCTAAGGGTCTTTCAGTATTTGCTACGGCTGAAACGTACACAAATGGAATTGGAGAAATCATGGGCTTCTGTGATGCATCAAGATCACACAGATTTTGCCAAGCGTCGCAATGACCGTTTGAACTGCTCAGTATCTCAGCAACGACGCCAACGTTTTAGGCCAATGTGGCGTGTTAGAGAGCATATGGCGTTCTTGATCAGAAATCTTCAGTTCTATATCCAGGTATTGATGCCATGTGTAGGTCAACTTTTTTTGGAGATAGTCTCTAAAAGACTATGCAACATAGGAATTGCCAAATTTTTTAATTATAAAGCAGTACAGGACTGGTGACTGATATGCATATCAGATCTTATCCAAGAACCTTGCTTTGGATAACATGTTGAAAGTGTTGGACAAAATAAAGTCTATAAATTGGACAAGCCATATGCTGGTCACACATAACTTGATAAATTAAATAATATTTTATATCTTGAGTGAAGTTTAGCCATCATCATGAAGGATGTTGGGAATAATACTAGGACAATGTAGGGAAATTGATTGTCATCTTTTTTTAAATTGTATCCCAATGATTGACTAGATAAAAAATTTATTGTCAGGCTATTTCTTTTTCTAATAACAGTCAGAAATGTTAGAGGATAAAACTTTATTTTCTTTATTTTTCAACTCTGTTCACTTTTATTTACCTTTTCTTTTCCCCCTTCCATGAGTTTATTCTATTTTTCCCTTTACTGGTTGATTTCAAGATCATTTTCTTTTTAATTTTTTGCATTTGTATTTTAGGTGGATGTAATAGAATCCCAATGGAATGTTTTGCAAGCTCATACTCGAGATTCTCATGACTTTACTGAACTTGTGGGCTTCCATCAAGAGTAAGTGAAGTGAATGGTTTCAGTAACCTCCTGCCTGTTTAATTCATTGAATTGCACACCTCTGTTCTACATAATTGCTGTTTTCTGAGTTTATACTCTTCTCATACATTGATAGTCGCAACATGATGCTTACACAACATGACATTAACTTGCAGGTATTTATCAGCTTTAATTTCACAATCTTTTTTGGACATTGGTTCCGTGTCAAGGATTTTAGACAGCATAATGAAACTCTGCCTGCAATTCTGCTGGAGCATTGAAAACCAAGAAAACAATCCAAATACCTCTGAACTGGAGCATTTAACAGAGGTATTTCTGCTAATGTTTTGTTATTTTGAGTTGGCAGTTCATGATTTGCTGAAACATTAAGCTCTGAAAGTATCAAACCTCAATTTTGTGTGCCTTGTCTTATGCAAAAAATTGCAAATTCACATTGTTGTTTGGTGCTTTTGCACTTCAATGATGGCTATTTTGCATTGTTTTCCACTGACATGCTTATCTCTTAAGCACTTGACCAAACACCATCTACTCTGGATTTCATTGGAAAGAGAAGTGTCTGTTATATAGACATGCCATATGCCTATAACAAACATTTGATTTTGCCTTTCTGTTCCATTGGAGATTTGGAGTTGTGGGAAGTTGTCATATTGGTGGTCACATGATCATATATTTATTTTGGACATTTATTTCTGAAAGTCAGCAGTATATGTGTGTCAAATCTAGTTATGCTCTTCTACTAGAATAACTGTTTTTTTTTTTTTAATAATGACCGCTGATTATTTTGGCAATTTTGTGGCCACCAAATTTAAATGGTTCCTTGACTTTTAATGTTCTTTTCCCCAGGAATTTAACAAGAAATCAAATTCTTTATACACTATATTGCGCAGTAGTAGGCTTGCAGGGAGCCAGCGAGCTCCATTTCTCAGGCGTTTTCTTTTGCGTCTAAACTTTAATCTGTTCTTTGAGGTAATTCTTCCCTAAACATGCCATCTTATTTTAGTCCTTCAGTTTTTTGACCTGTTTGATCACTTTTATTTTCTGACAGACAACTGCACAAGGTGTGCTGAATATTGTTAGACCATCTCCAACACTCCCTGTTTTTAATCAACAATAGCAAAAGTCATTTACAAGTCAAATCAGCTCCATGCAAGTACTGTTGTCATTTGTGTTGAGGAAGTCTCAACCGAGGTTGGCAATAGACTCTGAAGCATACTTCCATTTGATGAGGCGCCCTTTTTGGTGGGTGTGATGAGGGTGCATGTCTCCATAGCGTGAAGATTTTTCGATTAACCAACCCTATTAGGTGGTTCTTTGCAAACTGGCTTGTTCAAGTTGCGGGTTGATTTTTTGCTTACTCCATGTTAACTAACAAGTAACCATCCCCTGGAAGTGAGACAAATTTCAGCAGCCAGCATTGTCCGTTTCACACAGCTTGTTAACCCTGGCGTGGCATTCCTTGTCATTTGGTGCTTGTGGTAGGCAGCTCCATTTAGTGCTTGTACCAACTCATCAATTGGTATTTAAGCTTGTACTTTATAGAGATGTGTATCCATAAACTCCATTGCCAAAGTGAAGTTTCGTTTGTAAATGTGTGGTTTGCATCTGTGAAGTGAATTGCGGGGTTTGTAAGGCACTGACATGAAATATATAATGATTGAATGGAGGTTTTGATGCTTCACAGATTTATGTCTTTATGGCCAGGGAATTAAAGTTAGAAAACTGTCTTCAGTTATTCAAATAAAAAGAGAAGTTGATTTTCATATTTGTATATAACATGGATGGAGTAAATAGCAGCTTCCATGTTGTAACTCATCTTCAACCAGTATTGGAGCCGAAAGGTTATCCTAACAGTTAAATTTCCTGCGCCAGGAGTCCAGGAAGCCGCTGGGAAGCACGTTTCTTTATTTTTGCAGTGGACAGACTCTTTACGAGTGCACAAGCCGTCGCGATCCTCTTCTATACTGCAGCAGAAGGAGCGGGCTCTTTCGATAGAGAAGCAGAAGGCAAGGTAAATTTTATTCCTGATGCTTACGTAAGGTACCGTGTCAGCCCGTGAAGTTCAAAAATTTCTATTGTCAATCAAAAAATTTGAAATTTGTTTTAATGACAACCTTCCAATCTAAATTGACTAACAATAACCAATAAAATTTTGGATAAGATTGTTTGTCTTATAATTTACAAAATGTTCCAGTTTGATCCTTGAAGTTTGAAATCTCCCTATGTCAACACCAAGGTTTGAACATTGATATCTGAATGTTTAGTAAAATCATCATGAAGCATTTCGTGTATTAGAATCAAATGTATTTACTTTAAGTAATGTTATTACGTTCGCTTTATGTTTCATATTTTGTAATTTTCAAGTATTCATGAATGCATGCCTAATTCAATTATGATCATTATATGAATTTTGTTTTGCGCTATAATCCATGCATACCATACAGGGAGATTGAGGGCTTTATCGAAACTCCCACTTCATTTCCAGATTACCTCTCATTGCTTCCATGCTGAAATGAAAAGAGAACCTATGCATATATTCCGATCCACGCATACCATGCATGGAAATAGAGTCTCGTCACTACATTTAGCTCTTAGTTCTTCCATTGCTAAAACCAGACGTTTTCATCAAAGAACCTACCGAGAAGTGGGATATCAGGAATTGTAATTTAAAAAATTACAATGAATTGCAACATATGAGGATAATTCTGAATATTTTTGAACTGTAGGAACCTAAGTGAAAAATCTTGCAAACAATAGGGAGGCAATAATACTTCATAAAGAAAAGAAAAAAGATAAAAGGGGAGATGAAGAAATCGGAACAAGCAACGTTTTTTGCTATTTAAAATGAAAGGCATGGTCATACTAACCTGTTTCGATAAAGAAAGTGGAGTTCAAAATAAACTCGGAGAATTGATCCAATGGCATTATTCTTTGTTTACATTTAGAGCTCCTCGAACACTTCTTCACCTCCTTCCTCCTCAGCCCTCTGTAATTCTCTCCTCCAGGTTTCCACCCGGCAAGAGAGAGAGAAGAAAAGATAACGAGAAGCAAATACATCAAATTGCTTGTGACATCGGTAAATCATCTTCACAGGAGCTTGATGCTTCTGGCATTTATACCCTAGTCATCTATTTCTCATGATAAGGAACAAAAACTGGAAAATCACGATACGAATGAATGTTCATATAGATGTGTTCAAGAAACACATTGTGCAGGGGAGAAAAGACAGGAGCAGAAGCACATCTTTGTTGTTGAACAGCTTTATGCGACAATAACCTTGTAGCATCAGAATGAAGAACTGTATGAGAAATATTTGTAATTTGACAGTTGCTTATCCTCGAAACGTCAAGTTACAGTTACACATGCTTCAACATATATAGTTTGTAGGTGTGATTCCAATTACTGTCACTTTTTGGGAATTTTATATCAACAAATAGAGAATTAGGAGAGAAGGTATTTAATGATTAGGCTCCTCCCTTATCAAGCAAAACCACGAAATCCAACAGTAAGTGCTTTATATTCAGAATCATAAATAAGTTGCCACACATGATCATCTGAAAATTGCACTTGGTCTGCAACCAATAATATATATTCTTGTACTCTCCTGGTGCTACTTCCTTGCCTAAGTTCCCAGCAACTTCACAATTATGTCCCACCCGGAAGCCATTGCTCCTGAAGAGTTTGTTCATCCATTTCTCTGTGCTGGGCTGTGCGAGCGACCAGACAACAGGATAGGGCCTTGTTCATTGAGATAAAAGGTGAAGAAAAGAAAAGGCAGTTCTGAAGTCAGAATCTGACCTCGATCCCAATTTCAGTTTCTGCAAACCATGCAGGTAGTTTGCCCAGGAACAAACATAACAGGCAGTCCCTGTAAAACCCTGTGATAACAGTGATTCTCTCATTAATTTAACAAAGTTACATGTTAGAACAACTTCCTCACAAAGTAAAAGTGAAATATTATCAATGCAACATTAGAAGCCTCGACCCTTTAGAAAATATAGAAGCCTCAGTCACCTGGATAGCACATATACTAAGGAATTGGTCATCCAAGATCATGACCTTACTCCTCTAACCTATAACCTTTGTAGGGTTTGTACATGTATGATATAACAGAGAACCAAACTTTATTGAAGGATTTAGTGATTTTTATATCAAGCTAATGAGATGCTTTAGCACTAATATATTTTCTAAGAAAAACTCCACAAACTTTTTAGTATTTAAGGAGATTCAATTGGAAAATGTTTAAGGTAGAAGAGTTACATGATCTAATAGTCTTAAAAGTTTTGATAAGAGGAGTAAAGGAACATGTACTCTAGATAAAACTTTATGTCTTACCAGATAAAAACTTGTTCAGAATAAAACAATTCACAAAAAATTACATACGGATTGAAGATATCATTTTGCTACAACATGAACCTTTTTATTTTCACAGTAACAATGACTTTTAAGTGAAATAATCAGAGTAGTCAAAGCAAACATCTTAATGTCACCCTCAAGACATGTTCCTCCTAAAAACCTCTATTATACCTATCACTCAGATAATCTCAAGATGTATAATCTTTAATAAGAATATAAGTTTTTGAATATAAATGACTTAATTCAAAATAACTTTTTATTCTTTTTACGTAATGGTTGACAGCCTCTCAACATGAATCTTAGAAATGTGTATTCTCATAAGAAAGGGACGGATATGGTCTTTCTAATGCTATATGCATCATTATCCAAGAGATGGACGTTGTCTCCCTAGTACTACATGCACCGTTTTTAATGGGATGAACTTATCTCATTAGTGCCATTTACATAACTCTATCTCCCCATGACAGTATCGTCACTCTTGAAATGATGGACTTGGTTTTTTTTATTACAATAGCAACATTATCCAATCACTCCAGTCACTACTCTTTAGTGGAGGGCTCTTATATCCTATAAAAAAAAATCATAAAAATCACTCTTTAGTGAAAGACTCTTAAGCCTTATGATAATATTGGAAAAGCTATATGCTTCCACACTCTATTCCAAAAACTTATAAGGTAAAGGCTTAACCTTATTGGGTGCATATAACCACATGAGAATTTTTATAAATGATTAGCATGATACTTTAAACTCTTATAATTTTTCTAAGTACAAGTTTTTAATACTTTATGTTTGAAAGATTTTTTTCATTCTAAATGTATGTTGTTTCTAGCTTAAAACCCCTTTTTATACAAGAAAAACTCATTGATCTACCCAAACTGGAAAATTAATTAAAGTATTTGCATATTATTATATCACAAAAACTAGGAGTTGTTGATGAACCAAAATTTTATTAGTATATATTTATATATCTTTACCAAAAAAGTCAAATCAAGAAAAACATATAAGTATATTTTTCTTGAATTCTCGAGTGTATTTGGTTGGCATGTGCTAGCACAAACACATCTTAATGAAGGCGTACTAGGTCTGGCTAATGCCAGAACCAGCCATGATTGGGCTTGGTAATATATCAAACCCCGGGAGTGTTAGGTCTCGCTAATACTAGACCCAACTATCGATGGGTCTAGTGTTAGCCAGACCCAGAAAATACCTAGGTCTAGTGCTGCTCGACCTAATATTTGGGTCTAATGCTTCTAGATCCATGTTGGGGCCAAGCAACATCTATTAGACCCGGCTTGGGCTTGGAAAATGCTTCCAAGCCTATTAGCTTAGCCTGGTATGTTGTTAGGCCGACAAGGTGGACCTAACACATGTTTTCTGAAAGTGTCAAGCTTAAAGATTTTTGACATCATGGTTTAGGCATGACTGAATTTTTTATATTTACATATTTAAATATCATACTTGAATCTAACACTATCAATTCTATAAATTTTTATATAAAATCTAAGAGAATTTATTTTTAAAAAATAGATTTAATTAAATAAATATATACCCTGTCAACACCATTAGATGTATGAAAGTTTTTCATAACCTATCATGTATTTATCTTTTAACTAGATAAAATAAATGAAATACAACTTAAAATATCACAAATATAAAATTATAGTTCAATCTCTTATCTCCATAAATGGAAAAGACTTGTGGACTATAAAAACACTATGAGATCTTCAAAAATTTTACAATCTTCATTTTTTATTGCATATATATATTTAAAATACCTCTCTCTAGAATATTATTATTATTTTTTATTTTTAAAAATATATTTATTTAAGCATTGAAGAATCTTTACCTTTACCAAAGAAGATATTATACAAATACTAACCACAAATCATCTTGACCTATCAAGTACCAAATATAAATTATTAATCATCTTAACTAGAAAAAATAGATAAGATTAATAAAATTAATTGATTAATTAATTATATAATTTGTTATTTCTATACTATTTAAATATTATACTTCATCCATAATAGACACTACTAATTAAAATAAATTATTTATGCTCTCTTTCGTGGATGATTATATATGATAGTAGCATAAAACGGTACAAATAATTGTACAATATCATGAATTCATTTAAAAACAAATGAAATTTATTTAAAAATATATATTGGATAATTATGAAAGGTATAGCTTAGTTAAATTTCGAGTTTACTTTTTATAGATTAATAGTTTAATTCTTATAATTCTTAAAATTACTAAAAAATTATATAATAATTAATTTTAAATTTATAAAATTAATTAAAATATATATACATGAGTATCAATATAAGTTAATAAAAAAATATATATATGGGACAATCATATCACATATCATTTAGGGGTCCACCATATCAACCTATATATTAGCGTGTGGTTTTCAGTTCAAAAACACACTGACAAGGCTCGCTTTTTTTGTTGTTGATAATCATCCACCTCTAATATATAAAACGAGCTACCTGTTTATAAATGAATAAGAAAAAATAATAGCAGTATACTTGAAGATTTGAGGGGCCATGGTCGGATGCATTAAAGGAGATTTAGGTGGCGATTAAAATTATGATGTATCTATATTTTAAAATATTTTTAATGTTTTTAGTTTTAAAATAATTTGTTCTGTTTATATGTAAATATTGTTTTTTTATATATTTTTAAATTATTTTAACATGTTAATATTAAAATAAAATTTAAAAAATAAAAAATATATTATTTTAATACATTTACAAATAAAAAATAATTTAAAAAAATTCACACTAGCATTTCAGCTGCATGAGTCACAGCATGTAAAATGATGGATTTTGAGAGACACAAACATACATGTATACATGGTTGCTCATTAATTAATGTGTAAGATGTGGTAGCTCTTTTTTAAAAATAAAATATTTTTTAAACATAAATTATACCTTTAAAAGCTAAAAACACATGTTTTTTATTAAAAAAATACACAAACTATCTCCCATCCAAACACACATATTTAATTGACAAAGTCACTTAATTATAATTTTAAATGATTGAGAATAAAAATATGGCCTAACTACAGCTTGATTTGGAGCATTAAGAGGAGGGATAATCACCTCTTATCCATGTTTCAAATCCAAATCCAAATCTATCAATAAATAAAAAATAATTTCAACATGAACACTCACAGATTTCTGGAGAATCAAGATCAATGACCTGTATATGTATACCAAAAAAATGAGAAGTAAGTGTTTTTGGTTTTTGGCAATTTGCACAATATAATGTATTATTAGTCCTCAAAGTTCAATCAACTATATAGTTAATAAACACCTTCCTATTACTTCATTCTAGATATTTTCTGATGCATTCTTTCGGACAATTAATGAGCTTTTGGGTTTGAATATGGTGTTATTTCACTTTAATTAATAAAGGCTCGTGGTCGCAATTAAACGATTTTGTTGTTGAGTCAAGGATGTAATTGCAATGATTATAGAGCTCGGTGATGGTTCTGAAATTTCTATCCTAAATAAGGGATTGATTTGCAATAATCCTTTTCTTCTTTTTAATTTGTAAATCTGTTATTAGTGTAGGAAAGTAAAATAAGAAGAATTATTTTGATTGGCCACTATTACCAAAAAAATGATGTTTGGCCATGATTGCTACAGTGACTTCAAGTGATCGATTACTTTTCTTCTTCTTGCAAAAAAGTAAATAAAATGTTTATATTTACCTAATTTAAGTACATAAAATAAATTAAATTAACCTAAGCAATAATTATTTGAAGTCATGGAAGCAAAAATCCTAATTAGCTTCTCTTGTAGGGCAACGATACCATGGCAAGCTATATCAACAAGTTCACATTGGAAGCCATGTTAAATATGAGTTTGGAATTTATTTGTATGGTGATTAGCATGTCAAAATGTCAATTAATATATGCTGGAAAACATAGTTATTAGTGAAAATCAATACATTAATGTATGAAATGCCATATTAATTGTACAATCAACACATTAAAATATTATTGATAATGTAAAAAATATTTTTTATAACATGAAAACTGTTGTTTTTTAAAGTATTAAAATATTTTTTACTTGAAAATATATTAAAATAATATTTTTATTATTTATTAAATTTTACTTTTGATATTAATTGATGAAAACTATTTAAAATTAAAATGTGAAGACAAAGACACTCGAAATCTACATGTCATTGTCATGGCAATAGAAAAATATATATAACCTTTTAATGACTAACCGCATATTATTTGCATTTTGCTCGCAGGCAGCCTTCCACGTTCTACCAACCCAAGTTCGTAATTCCCAAAACACCCCTCCAAGTCCGAAGTCCAAGTTGGTGAGGTGAGGGCAGTCAGACACGAGGTTGGTGCTTATAGTAATAAAGTTTAAACCTCCCCGTCGTCCATCTTATTTTAGGCGAGGAGACAAACAAGAAGGAGCGAACCAAACACTCAACGAACTTTTCTCTCCCGCGACAACAACTCCTTCTTCCCCAAACCAAATCCAAAAAAATGGATGCCAAACTTCGAAACCCAGAAACCCCAGAATCCGTTTCAGAGGAAGAAAAACAGCAACTTGCCATTATCTCTTCATCCCCTTTTGCCACTGCTTCTCTTTCTCTTTCTCTCGCCACCATTCTACCTACCCATTTTTTAACTCATCCTAAAATCTCAGCTCTTTTTTACTCTCCACCAACCAAG